AGAGAGCAGGTTAGGAATGGGTATATGTTTGTACGGCCAATATCGCCATTTAAAAGGCCTCCTCCATAAGAGGGCTATTGGCCTGCCATATAGACAGACAGTAGGTTAGGAATAGGGACGGATAAATGGCGCCATCGTCCTCTGTAGAGGCTATTGGGCTTCGCCATACGATTGATTTCCATCAGATAGCCGTATGGTTGAATTGTTACAAATTTACACATGCTCAAACTGTGATAATGATGTAATAATTGAAGGTATCTAGAACGCAAAGCAAAAAACATGTTAAACTCTTTCACTCAAATTAGGCGGGCCATATTAAATTGTTACGTGACCATAATTGGCCCGCGAGCCTCGGTTTGGGAACCACTGCAACAAATCATTTGGACGCCTCGAACCTTTCTTGCAAACCACTTACTTATAGTTGGCTCAGAGTTTCTCAACAGGAGAGGATTTGGGGGGTAATGTGCTCGGTGTAGTTTTACTGATATTCATTCCCTATTTAGTGTTATTGTTAGACATATTCTTTGACACGTTATAAAATATTCGAACAGTATAAAAGCCAGTGTGTGAGTTGCGTGTAGCACTAGGAAATTTTGAAGATTGAACAAATAGTCGAAAAGAGTCAATATGCGACGATCAGAAGTGTATTTACCAATATGGAGGTAACTAATTTTGTTCGCCTACTTCACATCAAGTTGTGTATAAATGGACTAAAACCTATATGTAGGGGTAAATTCACTTGGGTAATTCAGACAGTCCCCGAACTCGTAATAGAACTAAATGAAGGAAAATCGGAATAAAGTTATGACCTGACCCTATCCTGGTACACATACTACGGGAGTACCCAATATGCATACTGATTGAGGAATAAAGAGGTCCAAATTAGACAAAAAAAGAGGTATTTAACGAAAAAAGGTTGGCTACCATTGATTCAAAAAATTGACCAGTTAACGAAAAGAGAATTTTTATGCGTAGTGAGGAAGGAAGGAATGAATTTAACATAAAGGGTTGGAGACCACTGATTTAATGACGTAGAACCGTAACTCGCTCGTTCAAAATACTCGCCTTCGAATAATGACGAATTCTTCGTATATTTATAACTGAAATACACAAATGAAATTCACATTTTAGTAAAACAGAAATATACGAAAAAAGACGTGATACGTTTACCGTGATTACGAACACTCAGATCAAGCATGGATTATAGTTGAGTGCTTAAAATGATTTGAGTTAGTGCGGAATTACTCCACAACATAAACGTAAAATAACATATTATTGCCACGTTATGACCTAGTATGACTGGGTGCCCAAGATTCTCGTCATCAGGAAATAAAATATTAAAGATTGAACAATTAACATAGTGAGGGAGAAAAAAGAGATACAAATGAGGCGAAGGGATATATCGAGAAGGGTTGGCACTGCAGTGTTCCCTCTAAGAAAATGTTACACTGCGCAAATATTTGTTCTAGTGAGCATGAATATTTCAAGGCTGAGCAGAGTCCTAAATGATTCACAAACCATGTGAAATATTACAATAATATATTATCAGAATGCGAACAAACTACAAATTTAGCTAAAAAAGCTTCTTTAAATGCGACACCGGCCAGCGTTGGCATTGCAGGTTCGGCTAAAAATAGCCCGTTTCAAATTATTCTAGAGAAATCGAGGTACTTGGACGTTACGGACACGTATGTGACCTCACAATGAACATTGGCAAGCAAACTACACGTGAAACAGGCATTCTAGCTAGGCGTTAGAAAATATGAGTCGGAGCGACGCTTTGAAAACGTAAATGTTGCAAGTACGGGAGAATGAGATTTTTGCACAAATGTTCTGGTGTGACTTCGCAATGGCGCAGTTGCGCACCTCACAGGGAACCTTGGTTGGAAGCCATCGCGTCATCTACTGTAAAATCCACCATATCGACATTTTCAATTTTACATTTCCCGATGTCAGATTTTTATTTAATCACATTAAGATCTCGTTATAACAAATGTATTTTAATCAATGTCGTATCCGATATATGTTCTAATTCCTTAGGGAATGTGGCAACACTAATTTCATTTCTGATGTGTTATAAATGTATGATGCTGACCGTACCACAGACTATCTGTATTGTATAATTAGAACAGGGTGTGCAACATTAATTACAGAAGGGCCAGATACGAATAACTGGGCGAAGCCGCGGGCCGCATCTTTATTTAAGATAGCCTTGTAGTTGCAGACATAAAATATCGTTTCTTTTTGTTATTGATCTTACGACATTGTTAAGGGTCATCGCAGAAATGGCGTGTAGAAGCGCATAAATTTCTGAAGAAAACTGCAATTCAAAGTTATTGTCACACCGACTACGAATTCAGTGAGAAACACGTTTTTAGAGCATTATGTACCTGTATTTTGAAACACATTTGGCCCGCTAACGCAGTTTGCACACCCCTGGATTAAAGCAGCGTTGCCAGTATTTGGAGTACATGGCCCTGGCAATTTAACAGCTCTCGCATAGTATATGTGCGCCTGTGTGTGAGTGTGGTGTGAGTGGGGGGAGGGGGATTTTATTGAGTCATGGTTGCAAGAAATAACGCATTCGAACTGTTGATGAAAAATAACCGAAACATAATTTATTCTGACGTAAAATAAATGAAATTATATTTGATATATTTTTAAACACGATTTGCTTAAGTTCTGACGTCATTATATGATGCCATGAAACAAACTAGTCGCTTTGTGGCCCACTGTCCGGCCCTCTCTCGGTCGTTACTCTGATGCATTGGTTTTCAACTAGAGTTACGCGGCCCCTCGAGTTTCCTTTTTAAGCCGAGAGTCTGCATTGATATATGCATATTGCATACAAGCTAAGGTTCACCACCAATATCACTAAAACTTCAGTTATGCCGGCATTGACTTCTTCTTAATAAGTGAGTCGTAATCCGAAAACTTATAGCACAATGACAATTTTTCCACAGCGGTTCAGCGAAAACTGCTTTACATCATGTCAGAATGCAGCCGCGGTCTAAATTTAGCAGCTACAGCGTTATATATATATACAAGGTGTTCAGAAAGTTCCACCCGATTTGACAGCATTACTAATTGCCAATTTGAATAAATTTGGTTGTATGATAAAGGGGACCACAACATTCAACATCTATAACATCCAATTAGAAAAAGGTTGACTATTAATTTTTTTTAAAATTAAAAAAAAATAATATTTGATTGTAAAGATATTATATTCGGGCGAAATTTTTGGACACCCTGTATATTCCTATTATTAAACTTGTAAAATACAAAAGATCATTTTGTTTTGCCAGTATTAGTTTATGCAATTCAGATATTAGTAATTAATTTAATCTATTACACACGGATTCCTCTAGCCGTTGGAATGTCTCATTGGGGTCGAGCTCTGCCAAAAACGTCAAAACCACTGAGTTAGACCATCACAGCGCCCGAGTTTAAAATTAACGAACTTTTCACCCACATTGCGAGCAACGAATTCCTTCACACAGCCTTCAAAATTTATTAAATAAATATCGATTTCTTTGCGAAACTTATTTATAATTCATGCACTGTGACTTCACAAATGGCGAACGCCTTGCCAAACTTGGCCTGTAGTAACCCCGCGATGAAAGCGCGATCGCGTAATCCATTTTCAGATAATTCTTAAATTAAATTTTCCAAAGCAAATTGAACAATCGTTTCAAATAATAATGTTGATTTATCTTTTGTGCTTTTCAAATATCGGGCTCTCCGCAAACTTCTTAAACACGATTTTTTTCATGAATTCTACTCTCAGACCGCCAAGTGTGTGTATGTGTGGGGCTTCAATAAGTTGCTTGTTGACGCAATGATGTGCCGTCATCCTATAATAGTACAGTGGATTTAGGAAAAAGGAAGATAGATATTTAAGTACTTATTTGAAATACAAAATGACATAATATATTACGTCAGGGATGTGCGGCCAAATGTGGCCCACAAGAGAATATTGTGCGGCCCGCGGAAAGTGCCAATTTTGAATGTTGTGCAGTCTGTGAAATGAGTTTTTAATTAATTAAGTTTAATCTTGTACGTGCAAAGTCTATTTTTCAGTCCAATTTCTTATCTTTTTTCTTTCGCGGCCCATTTTCGTTGCACACAAACTCTGTGATCCATGAATTTTTTCATGCTGGGAAAAAACTACAAAAAAATCAATACATTCTTACTGCAAAAATAAACACTTCCACTTTGATAATAATTAGGAGAAAATTGCCACCCTGTAGTAATACAAACAGCATCCACATTCATTGCTAATACCATCAAATTTAACTAAATGTATCAACAACTCTTAGCAATTTTCGGTTCTCCCGAAGTATGCGACCCAAGATGGCGGACATCGGAATGTAATATGTGTACCAGGTTAGGATTAGGCCATAATTTTAGGTATAAATACTACGGGAGGCTCTTGGCTAGTCTTCGAACTGATAATAGAACTAAAATAAGGAAATATGGGAAAAAATTATCGCCTAACCCTAACCTGTTACCCATGTTACATTCCGATGTCCGCCATCTTGGTTCGCATACTTCGGGAGCCCCCAATTTTCAATAAGTTTGTGGCCCACCTGACATGTTTGTGTGGCCCAGTAGTGGACCATGGCCCACTGGTTGAGAACCGGTGTGCTAGAAAGTCCATGATAAATAATGGTGCGGCCCGCGGTTTCACCCAGGTATTTGTGTCTGGTCCTCCTGTATTGAAGGCTGTACACTCCTGTGTTACGCCGTATACAAAAATATAATGTCATAATTTAATTATCTTTTTTCCATGACAGTTTTAAAAGCTTATCAAAATGGATAGGCGCTCCAGAAGTATGTGCACCAAGATGGCGCACAACCTGATAACATACTGTGTTCAGGTTGTGCGCCATCTTGGTGTAAATACTTCATTACATTCTTCATTAACAAAGTAGGTCTTAACGTAACAGCAACTTCTTGACTTGCCTAGTTTAAAAGATTGAATTAAACAATTTCTTCTATATTTTACTTGTTATTCAGAAAGAATTTTTAAAAAATAAAATGATTCGTTCAAATAATGTTCGGACTTTTGAAGGAATAATCTTCGTCGCCATGTTTTACGGAGTTTCGGCTACAAGTGGAGATGGGATTATTGCGACACAGCCTGACAATGATGACGTCATAGGAGAATGGTTCCCGCGCTTAAATGTCACGTGTGTTAACAAACAATTGGATTTTGAGGACAATCCTAATTGTAAAAATGGGGAATTATCGCAAGAAAAAATTGAGTGCGCTGAAGGTGTGTTTAAAGATTCGACGGACAGAAGTTGTGTGACAACAGAAAGAAGGATAAATTGCACTGAACAACAGGTGAGTTATCAATTTGCAATAAAAATTGTTGCAGTATGTATTTTCTGTATGAAGAACATCCCCTCTCCACAAAGATCAGTACAAGAATTTTAACTTTTATCGGTATACTTTCTACTTTCACCTGACGGCTCTAGACCTTACAGCACATTACAAATCTTCCGTGTCCGTAAAATTCGTCGCTGGAAATTTCGCCGAATAGAAAAAAGAAATAGGAAAAGTATTTTGCTGTAAAACAAGTATTTTTGATTGAAACAGTTAGGTTTATGGAGCTGGGGTATGCTCTCATATAACGATTATTTTTCGTATAAGGCAATTCATTCGGCAATTTTTCCTATGCCGCGAAATGTCCTACGGCGAGATTTCCTACGGCGAATTTTCCTAGAACCTAAATCATCTATCGACTGGCTAACTAATCCCATGCCCGACATGGACTGGTAACCGTCTTATCGGCTTTTCTCTCCCCATGGGATAAATATGTAAATCCTATTTTTTTTTAACTTTAAGTTGAGGGCTCAGGAACTTGCTTTGAACAAACTTTCAACTCTTCTATCAGTACTCTTTCCACTTTTAGTTGAGGGCTCGGGACCTTGCTTTGTGCAAACTTTCAACTCTTCTATCAGTACTCTTCCCACTATTAGTTAAAGGTTCGGTACCTTGCTTTGTGTAAACTTGCAACTCTTCTATCAGTACTCATTCCACTTTTAGTTAAGGACTCGGGATATTGCACTGAGCAAATTGCAACTCATCCATCAGTAGGCCTACTCTTTCGATTGCAGTTGAGAACTCGGACCTTGATTTGAGCAAACTTGTGGCTTTTCCATCAGTACTCTTTGCACTTTTAGTTGAGGACTTACTCTGAGAAAAATCGAGCTATATAGGGCTCTTAACGCATAATTGGTAGATTGCACCTTTGTATAATTACTCTTTCTACTTAAAGAAAGAGCTGCCGACCTTGCTTTGAGTGAAACTTGTATATTTGTCTTGGCGTTTCAGCAGTCGCTTTCAGCACTGCTATCGAATCATTTTTATATTTAGTTGAGGGCTTAGGACCTTGCTTTGTGCAAACTTAAAATCCTCTATCAGTATTTTTCCGTATTTATTTGAGGGTTCGGAACCTTGGTTTGAGTGAAATTGCGATTGAACGAGTGATTTAATATTGCGCCTATAAAACGTGTCAGCGGTTATCACGAACTATATCAAGGGGAAATGACGTATGAGTTGATTATAGTCACGTATTTCCGGTTCCTCGTTTCGCCATAATCAGTGTTAGTTTCAGTGCAATGTGATTTCATAATACATTATTGCAAAATCAATAGTGACAACATAATACATTATAAAATTGAATCCTTCCGTCGGTTATGTGAAATTCACTACTACACAGCACACCTTATCGACTTGAGCTGCAGAAAGTCTCGCTTTAACTAGTATTCACGACAACTAATGCACCACGATAATCCAATGTATAGTTTCAGTAATTTAGTGGTCGCCCTTAACTTCGCTCAGTGATATGGCTGAGTGCCCGTCATTTTGCCTAGAGGTGAGTCTTTTTCACTTCTGAGTGAGTACCCATACCTTTGCTCAGAGATGAGTCTCCATTACTCTTTAGTGAGTGCCCGTAATTTTTCTTAGAGATGAGTCTCCTTCACTTCTAAGTCAACGCCCATAACTTTGCTTATAAATGAGTTCTACTTCACTTCTGAGTGAGTGCCCATAACTTTGCTCAGAGATGAGTATCTTCTTAGTTTCATTGCTTGAAAATGGAACAATGTGCTAGAATGCTAGATGATTTATTTGCAAATGTAAACATCGCAGTGAAAGGCCTCAATTTGTATACATGATAAAAAAAAAAACGTTGTTTACCGTAAAATAATTATAAGATAAGGTAAGATAAGAATTTTATGTGTTAGCGTCCTTTGTGTCCATAAAATATGATGGATTCTTTAAAATAAAAAGAAATGATAATCGCAGGACGGCCCGGGATAAACATGCGGATATTATCCCACGATGAAGCCGTCTTATCAGTTTTCTTCTCCTTCGGAATAAATATGAAATTCATAACCTTTTAGCGCGCGTTACATGAAATGTTTCGTAATTACGATTGTCACGCGTTTTACTCATGGTTTATTATTGCTGTTTCGTCATAGCAGACTTTGTACTCTCTGTACGTTCAGACATTTGGAAGTGGCCATGCTTTTTTATTGAAGTCAAACTCAAGCCAACTCAAGATTTTATGTTTTTTCTAACTAATAAATAAAAATATCACACGAGTACAAATTACAAGAAAATGATAATTTACACAGTTTTACTGGGAAAGGGAAGTCGCGGGGAACCAAAGCTGGTTATTGAGCAGCGACACCTGAAGTTCTAATATCTAATACAAAACTGACAGTTGTGGTTACGTGAAACTAACTACCTTTCCTTGCTCTATGCCAGGGGTCGACAACCATTTGTCGCTCGCGGGCCAAAATTAGGGTTGCAAGTCATTGGCGGGCCGCACATATTTTTAGAAAATTGAAAACCGATCGAATGATACTTTTTAGAATAAAAATCAAGCATTGATACATCTCTCGATTGTATTACATCGCAAAAAATTCCATTTGAATATTTTCGACGCCATTGAACCCTTTGCGCTTAGCATCAACTTTTCTGCGTTTTGTTGCCATTTGTCTAATTATAGTTAAATTATAGGCTCATTAAATGAGTAATTGTGAATTATATACTTGTTAGGTTATATTATATATAATTTAGTCTACAGTTGTCTCCCAATAAATTCTGTTACGTGAAGAATATAATCGTCAAAACAGATGTTTTGTTACTATAATCCAGTGAAGCGTCGCGGGCCGGATTACATTACTCCGCGGGCCGTAGGTTGCCGACCCCTGCTCTATGCCTTTGCGCAGATGGATCCGTATGCGTATAACGCAAGGATGCTGTAGCAAGAGTGAAAATGGCTATCCTAAGCAATTCAAGAGTCTTGCTGCACACGAACACAAATATATTTCTGTATTGTTTCGTCTGACCGTGGTTAAGACTTTTTGAGACGAGCATTTTACAACTGCGGAAAGAAACGCAATGGCATGCATAGCTTTCGCCTTTTTTCAAATATTTAGCACCTAAATATTGAAGTGTTCATTGAAGGCTATTACTTCTATTTTCTATCACTGTCGGCCTTTTAAGCTCTGCTGAATGTAAAAAAATTTCCTGTATGCGGCTAACGGAAGAATGTATTTCAAATTTTTGAACTTTGAAAATGGCCTAAACTTCCAGATAGTATCTAGTTTCATTTTGTTCCTCCTCCTAGTCATATGGCACCCGATATTTCTTCCAAAAATTTGCTGTTTCATTTACGAGTAAAACGAAGAATGAAACACATTTTTATTCTGTAAAGTTTGACCGCCTCTACCACATTTGTCCGCTGATATTTAGTTTTCTCGGTGCTGTAAGGACCTTAGACACCAGAACCAATAAGCAATTTTCGTGTTCATATATTGTAATAGGGGTAAAATTTTCATACTCAACCCGGGGAGAGGAAATCCGATAAGACGGCTTAATCATATGGTGAACCAGCATGCCTGTCGTCTGGTTACCAGTCCATGTCGGGGATTAGTAAGCCAGTTATATGTTGCAGATGCATGGACTTCGTGGCGGGGGATGTCGTAACCGACCAGTGATTACGCGAACCACCCTACGATGGTGAGGAATCAAGCAATCCTCTCGTACATAATTATCCCCACAGGATTTGAACCCATGCGATGGCAATCGTATTCCCAACGCTCAGCACCTTTCGTTTGTGTACGTTTCGCCTTAAAAATTCCTTTGCATTTTAGGTCTGCAGCGGTTGGTCACAATGGATCAAAATTTACAACTGCTGCCCGAATGACACCTGTGTTCACCCAGGCTTGACGCTCATGAGACAAGAGGCGGGGCGGTTCAGGACCAGGGACTGCAGAGATGATGTAAGTATAAAAGATTATTCTGTCTAGCTACGCCTCAATGGTTCCCGGTTAGTAAGAGGCGGGGTAGTTCAGGACCAGATACTGCAGAGATTATTTAAGTATAGAAAAGTTTATTATGTCTATTTACGCTCCAATGATTCCTGGTTAGAAAGAGGCGGGGCCGTTCAGGACTAGAGACTGCAGAGACGATGTAAGTATAGGAAGTTTTTTCTGTCTAGTTACGCTCCGATGATTCTCACAGTCTAACCCAGGGCGTATTGTTCGCCTACCTAAGCTGGCGGGCCATGCAAGTGTTACGTGGAAAGTTAGATTTAATTAATGATATTTGAAGTCTTGCGAAAACGCAAAAGTGGAAAACAGTGAGCCTCGTGCCAAAACTAAATTTAATAGCAATCTCAACAAATTCCTTGAGCTATTTTTAGCTAAAACATTACAATTTGGTTTTAGTTTGGTTGTGGTCGCATCAGACGGACCATATTGAATTACCCAACGGGTCGGATTTGGCCCAAGGTCTGTAGTTTGCCCACGTCAGGACTAACCACTGGTCCATCGAACCAAGCTCAACGGCCATCCCTTTGTATCTATGTGGTCTCTTCTATACCGTGTTTCCCCGAAAATAATACCTACCCTGAAAATAAGACCTAGCCTGAATTTTAAAAATGTTTTCCATATAAGCCCTCCCCTTAAAATAAGACCTAGTCAATAACTCGAATTTTTTTTTTTACTTATTCGAAAGCAAGAAATCTTTCCTACACGTTTTAAATGTTTAATCCAAATCGTGTGTGAGAGGAAAACTCGTTATTCATAGGTAAATGGAATCGGTTTTCATATTGTATTGAAATCTAATTCTCTACTTTTGTAGGCTTTTATGGCGTTGTTTTGGACTTGTTTACCTTCATGCTCTCGCTAGTTAAGCCTCTTCGAGATCACGTGACCTATTGGCAATCATGCATAATAATTAAAATTTACTTATTTTCTATCGATAGATTGATCAAGAATGCCAGGGAGATTACGGAATCGTGCAGTGTGGCACAGGGAAGTTCGGGGCCCGATGGGTGGCAGCAACCCGATAGCGGAAGTTCATTGCCTACAATCGCGCTCTCATTGGCTGGTACCGTCATGGTTGGGTTACTTTTGTTCGCCGCTTTGAGGATTCGAAAAAGTGCGCGGGAAAGGCTTCGAGCGCCACCTTATGGAGGAGAAATGCAAGGAGTGGATAATGAAACTGGACCTGCGGTGAGTTCTCGCAGAAACTAAAGCTATGGTTTTGAAATTTCTTACGATATTGGAGTCAAATCAAAATTCCAATTCAAATCTTTCCAAAGTAGAGTCGGTGATAACTTACAATCTACCCTGAGTCTGGGTTAAAAATTTTGACGCATGTTCCCGGCAAACTAAAACACAATAACGTAACTTTTTTCAACGGACACTCATTATTCATTATTTTGTCATGCATCTTTCTTGTGACGTAGCAAATAAAATAAGCGTCCTCAGTTGAAGGTTTGGGACCTTGCTTTGAGTAAACTTGCAACTCGTATGTCAGTACTTTCTCCACTTTCAGCTGAAAGATCGGGGTTTTCATATAAGTTTCATGCAGTGGCGTATCTGGGGTGTGGCAGCCATGGCTCCTGCCATGGACGTCGTTTGAACAGGGTCGCAAAAATGGCGAAAGGATGGATTTTGAAAAGTTTCAATGAAATAATTTCAAATTGGGAATGAAACTCGTATTTTTACTCATATAATGACGTACAAATATCTCAATTTAATAAAAGTCGTTATAGATTGGCAAACAACTATCAACGGAGTGCATTTTTAGACTTTGCCTCAGATGCCATTTTACGTAGATACGCCATGGTTTCATGCCCTGAATTAACTTGCAACTTTCTTACATTTTCAGCCAGCTGACTCTCGAATCCAAAGAATCCTGGACTCGATCAATACAAACGGTAGAAACTACGAACTCCGGGAACGCTCCGACTCCACGCCGGGACGAAGAGTTTATGTTCTTAGTCCGACTCCACAAGACACCAATGTTGTTACCTGGGGGAGGGGATTTAGTCGGACCACGTCACAATTAACCAGCATCACAGAGGAAGACGTGGATGGTAAGGCTATGACATCATTGATATTAAGACGTACATTATTCTAATGACGTTTTTATGGCAAACAAGTGAAGGAGTGACTTTAATAATCCTCAGCCATGAATCGCATTCAGATTCCTATTTTAACAATTTGAATGACGTGGATGGTAAGACTATTTCGTCATTACTATGACGTATACAATCACGTTAATGAAGCCAGAAACACCATGTCTGATTCCTATGTAAATGCTTATCCTGACTTTTTTCAAGTTCTATCTTTATCGTTACTCAGAACATAACACCAAACAACATTTCCCTACGAACTTCAAGGTTCAAATCAATTGGCGCGCCATAACGTTTTAACAAAATATAATTCTATCTCTCCAATGTAATAGCGATCGTTAGCATCTTACTTACTAAATTATTTGAAATCAATTAACACTAATCCTTTTTGTTTATGCTCACCCTGGCCAAAACAGGCGCATATGGAACTGGTCAATTATTGCTCTACTCAACCTAACGAGTTTGCCATTAATTACCGGTGTTTTCAAACACCGGGGTCCTCGGGCCAGTTACGGCCCGCGAAACGATTTAATATGAACCGCCGAACTTTTGTGAAATAATTCAACACTTTGTTTTTATTATTTTGCGTTCTAGATATCCCCAATTGGTACGTCATCATCTCAGTTTAAGCACGTGTATATCCGTTAGAATTCAGTTATACTGGCCCCTTGAAGGGGCTCCGTTCTCTTGGCCCTCTAGTATCCTTTCGCTTTTAATATTGGCCCGTGTTCAATCAATTTAGGGAACCACTGGATTAAGCCACCTTTTTTTCCTGGTTTTGCCCGCCACTGATTTACTAGTCGTCTAAGGGTTATTCAATGATCTACGGTTGCCATGGTTACCGCGACCTGTCGTGTCTGGAGTCGCTTTTTTAACTAGAGTGACGCCGGAATATCGCGTCGCTTGAAGGTGTTTCAAAGTCCGGTTTTTGTTAGTATATTATACTTGATTTCTTTTTCAGTATGATTTAATGTTAGACTCACTCCCCCATAGGTGGCGCTGCTCGATAACCACCTCTGGTTTATCGCGTCTCCTTTCAAACTGAAATGCATTTATTCATCTTTATCAATTATGGTTGTCCAATGTTTACTTTCGGTTTGTGATAAAATGAACTACTGACTGACTAATCTGTTGTCAACAGGTAATTAATTGGTCGAGAGATCGTCGTTCGCAATATAAATAAGCCGTCTTTTCGGTTTTCCTCGCCTTCGGGTTAACATGAAATCCAATCCTAACCTACCAATCTGTTTTCAGCTTTATCTCAAATCACCGAAAGCGCCGAACCTCAGCCGGACAATTGTGTTTTCACGTACGATAGTGACGCAATAAATGAACTTAACGAGTCGTCTGCGTTCGATGAAGACAACAAGGCAACGAGCACTGAAGCGATAAATTGCATTAATGACGTAATTGCAATGTATGACGTAGAGAAAGACGTTGACGACACAAACTTAGAAGAAATTCTGAAAGAAAATAGTCGCATTTCGACTTCAGATTACCGAAAATCCGCGGACTACGGGGCAGATAATAATTATTTGAACACGTTTGGTTGGAAGCCTCAAGAACGCGCTTGGAAAATAGAAAAACTCAAAGACGAAAACAAAAAAAGCGCGGAGCGACTTTCAGCATCTTGCTCTACCATGAACTCAACATTTTCCCAAGCTTCGTCATCACGGTCGCTTGGCAACGGAAATATTACGTCACAAGATAATGATAAAGATGATGCCAGTTCTCGCGTCCCTTTGCTAGGCAACGATGATTTCAGCATGATAAATAACTTAAAAAAAGAATATAAGTCGTTGCCTTCACTTCTAGATACGTCACAGATTCCCGATATTGATGACGTATTAAAAGACGAATACGCTGATGACGTCGTTTAGAATACGCCACATGTCCCCGATATTGATGACGTATCAAAAAACTAGTTCTCCGATGACGTCGTTCCAAATAACACGATCTCGCCGATAACGTGTTCAAAATACGGCACAGATTTCACGATTTTGATGACGTATTGAGTCTGAATTTTAATCTGGTTTTACAGACGATTTGTGAGGCGTTCTGTCGTAGTTTACTCAAACGAATAGAACGATGGAAGATTGCTTCGGTATTCCATTTTCTCTGACCATTGACCGCGGTGAAATTTCTCTATATTTTACTATTGCACAATTTTATCGCCTATTTTAGAAGTATTGGCGCTTATAAATAGGATTAGATGTTCGAAACTGACATTTTTTATAAAAATACTTAACCTCGTACCGCTTATAGGTACTGACAGCTAATTTTAGTATAGTGTATTGCAGCTTTTCCGGGACAAAATTAATTACTGCAACTGACAATTAAATTATTTGATTTGCAACTTATTTTTTTGAAACACAACTGCTGACAAATAGCACGCAAAACCAGGCATTTTTTGCAACCATGCTTGCATATCTTTCTGTATGAGCGAAAGAAGGGTCGAGCGCTTGCACAAATTGATCCCATCACGTTAAGTTAGTATTGCTATGTAAAATTTCTTATTTTTGGGCACGAAGTGAACCTATGGATCGTTTTGGTATTATGTTGTTGTTCTTAATGGTATTTTTCTTCTGCTTGTTACCTCATGGAAAAAATCGCTTCTCTCTACTGGGCCCATTGCTTTGAAATTTTCAGGGGTTGAAGATTGTATATTTCGTATAATAAAAGTTTATTACTTATATTCATTTCAAAACATTCTGTGATTTGTTTTTCAATTTTCGAAATTTTGTGTGATGACCTCTTGAAAATTAACATAAATTGTTTGTAGCGGTTATCCGACCTCTCTCTTGCTACGCGGAAGTCGGAAGTTTTTTTACTGTACCGGTACTTTACAAAATAAGGTAGATTACTGCTCCGCTCTGATCTTCGTGTCCATATATTTGAGCATCGCTCTCTTGTTTTATTTATCGTTGTGTTCCAAGCTAGATTGACCTTGGGAGAAATTTAGGTGCTCCAGAAGTATGCGCACCAAGATGTTGCACAACCTGAATCCTAACTGGTACACACATACTATGTTCAGGTTGTGCGCCATCTTGGTGCGCATACTTCTGGAGGTCCGAAATTTATGATTCATTTTATTTGACCACTATTTATCTATCCTGTGTTTATTTTACTATGCAAAAACACGAATTAAACGTTATATGGGAAGGAATATCTAGTGCTGTAGAGTCTGTAGACGAGTATACAGTAGGCCAGGACATTTCAAATCTGCGAACTGTCTGAACTAGATAGCGATCGAAGACCGCCGATTTATCGATCTGTGGTTTCGATTCCTTCGCTCTGACTCAATAGCGAAACCACGTGTCACTAATTAATTAATAACTCGCTAATTATACGACATAATTCATCCATCGATGGGTAGTAATGGATTCTATGTTTTCGGTAATTTATGTACCTGGAGGACGCATTACAACAAAAAAGTCAAATATAATTACATACATTTCAACTACATTTCAAAGTATTCGAGACTCGATTCGATTCTGAAATCATCAGGTAATCGAAAACGTCTTTATGTATAGACTAGGGTTGGATTATCCGGATATCGGTTAACTGGATAACCGGTTAATCAAGAGTTATTTTGCTATCTGATATCCGGATATTATTGTGACGGTTAACCGGATAATGGAGCAGTATAAATAATGCATATGCGCATTAGCGATTTTTATATTTTTTGTTGAGTGGCGACTGACATCTCCCAGAGCATATAATAACAACTTTTCCCGCTCTAATCTGCCTACATTTTAGCCATCCGTAGAATGCTGGAGTGAACTTCACTATGGACCTTTCCCCAAGCATCGACTTCCTTGTTTACTTCGTGACATTGGCCAATCAGCAAGATGCAAAAAATGACGTAACAATGCTCCCTTTTCGCATCCGCTCAGACACTTTTCTCACTCAGACAGATTTTCAAGCGTGGTCGTAAACATTACCTCGATTTTGCATTTTTGAACTCTATTTGTTAGTTTTCAGTTGTGTTTCGAAAACTTAAATCTAAAACAGTTAACTCAATGATCACTCTGTCTTCTTAGGAGTTTTAATTTAATTGCAGTAATAAAAATTAGTGTAAAAATAGCTGTGATAGACTAGGCTAAAATTCTTTACCGGTACTTTTAAAAAATAGATTGTTGTATGCGATGAATCATAATGATGATTTGAAACACACACCCCATTTAACAGGCGCCAACTTGCCAAAGCGCTCTTAAAATAGCCTCAAAAATTTTGCAATGGTAAAGTATAGGAAGAATTTTTCGGGGGTCAAAGTTCAGAGAAAGGTCCATTACATCACAAAACACACAAAACAAATGTAAATATTGCGCTTATTAGAAGAGCTCATTTGCTTTATAAAGTTAGATTTAGTTTAGTTTAAGCAAAACTAACTTGAACGAATTCAGTTGAAAAGCATTGGTTGGGTGGGTGTGAGTTTGTTGCTTTCTCGTCGGGTGTGGCTTTTAGTTGTTGCGTGTATTGAAGGAACGCATTTCATCATGATGTAAACCAGTTTGAATTCCGAGGACTCATTTCACAACACTTGCGATTCCATGTAATCTGTGTAGCATTTCAAAATTTTGAGTACACGACCAAATGTTATGTGCTTGCTTTTACCTTTCGTATATATATTTTTTCAAATTTCCATGTATCAACCGAATCAATAGATATACCAGCCGAAATAAATCTATTCTACCCTAATTGAACTTAAAATCTCAAAGAAATGGTCATCGTGAGTCTGCGACACCAAAATTTAGTACGAGTCAAAATACAAAGAAAATATGCTAGACACAAAAAAAAAACTTCCAAAAAATTTAACAATAAAAAAAAGAATAATATAAATTTTTACATAGGATTTGAATATGAGAAAATAACTTAGCAGTCGAGGGAAAGACAATTAGGACACAGTATTTAAAAAAATGTTTCATTATATTATTCAGCAGTACTTCTGTACGATTACAGAGCTTAAATTTTTATTTATTAACACATGCAACATCAAAATGCACAATCATTTTTATTCAAGCTGAGTAATACATATGTACGTATTTACAACAGAACTGTGTGGTGGTTTTTAGTCAATTCGCCGCAAAAATCTTGTGAAATCGGTTCTCTGAAATTAGCAGTAACTATCCGGTTAACCGGTTAGTTAAAATACAAAATACCCGGATATATTCGTTACCCGGATAGTATAAATTATAGGTATTCGAACTAACCCTAGTATAGACCACTTGTAGGCAAGGTTTTTGGACCAGGGCCAAAAATTTTGCCCGCCTGAACTAGCGGGCCATGTAAGTATGACATAAAATGGCAAATTTTATGAACCGAATTTACAGTGTCACGAAAGCAAAAATGGAAAACCATATACGCGAGCAAAAACTCAATTTAATCCCAATTTCAACAAATTGCTTGAGTTATTTTTAGCTAAAACATCAAAATTTGGTACTTGGTACTTTGGTACTTTACAACAATACTTGAATATCTGCCTGAGGGACAGGAGTGTCTGAGCGGCTGCAGACATTGCAATTACATCATTGTTGACTTTTTGGACACGTTTAGTGGACATAGCGATCGTTTCAATATTATGTTGTTGTTGGACACGTAGTGGACATAGTGATCGTTTTGTTGTTATGTTGTTCTTAGTCTTGTTGTTGTTCTTTTTTTAATCCCAATTTTAACAAATTCCTTGAGTTATTTTTTAGCTAAAGCATCAAAATTTGGTTTAAGTCTAATTGTGACTGCATCAGACGGGCCTTGTAGAAATACCCAATGAGTTGGACTTAGCCGGTAAAGACGTTTCGGACAACGGACGGCTCACGCAGACTCGAGCGCGGAAACACTAGTGTGCAGCGGACAGGAACGTGCCAAAATTTTCTGCGGTCCGGGCGAGTTATCGCGATCTATGCTGATTATAGAGTCGAAATGAACATATACTTATATACAGTACTTATACTAATTCCTAACTTCGAAAATAATTCGGGGTATAAACAAATTATAGATGTTGATGTACATAAGAATGAATAACTTAAATAAGATAAGAATTCAAGTAAGAGTGAAATGTTTGTATTTATTATTATTAATTAAATCATCAAACTAAGTAACACGCTCACCCCTACAACAAAATGTCCAGGACCTCGTCCATGCGATCATTTCCTTCCTCCCACCACGCCTCCGGCAAAAGAACTAAATAGAATAGTTATCTTTATTCCTGCTACAGCACCGTTTCGTTATACGTATACTCGCAAAGGCATTAAAAAAGTTAAAGCAGTTAGACTCGAGTAATCCCAACTGATAGTAAAGTTTTATCAGTTCGTGATAGCAAAAACATAGCAATCCCAAAATTGGGTACTCCCGAAGTATGTTAGAGCCATAATTTTATTCCAATTTTCCTTATTTTAGTTCTATTACGAGTTTGGGGACTAGCCAAGTGACTGCCGTAACATTTGTACCTAAAAATTATGGTCCACCATCTTGGTTCATATACTTCGGGGTACACTATATATGATGCACGAATTAACACGAATGTATTACTGTAGCATCTTTATGTCGAATTTTACTATAGGCTAAAAGTTTCTGAAACCACCTACAAATTTTTCCTCGAGTTCAGTGGTTCTCAACCTTTTACTGACCGCGTACCACTTTACTGATTTTTACTCTGTCCGCGTACCACCGAAAAAAAAAAATTTTTTGGCGTGGGGAACAATGGCACAAGACACGTTCTATGGGTGCATTTTATAATGTGGCACCACATCTTTTGTGACCTAATTCGCAAGACGACCGGAACCAGCCCATCTTGATTTGTTCGTGGACAATAGCAGGCGAGGGCGTTCTCTTAAGACTGGACTGGTCCATAGAACGTTTCTCCGACCCTTGACCCCAGACAAATTCTTCCTATACTTTACTATTTCAAAATTTTTTACTGTATATCTATTTTGAGAATATTTTGATGTGTTGTGTGTGTGATGCTTATAAGCTTATCTACGTGTTTGAAAATCTCACTTTCATTAAAATTAATCAATCATGTGCCT